CCCTTTGTACGAACAAAAGTAAGAGAAATTTAGGATAAAAATACGAACATGTTCTTGCATGAGGTCCATTGTTTTCATGGCAAATAAACAACAGCATAGATATTACTCTCTTTTTGTCTATTTTAAGTGCACTAACTTAACTCTTTTGTAATAACAAAGGCAAAAAATTATTGATAGTTGTAATTTTTTAGTGTAATTAATTCAGAAAATCTTTTCAGGACCCCACCTTGATGTTTCGGGACCCCACTGTGGGTCCCGACCCCAACTTTGGGAACCACTGGTCAAGTGGGTGTGAGTGAGAGTGCTCAAGACATTAGTAAATCACCAAAAGTTATCAATAAATATTTTTGTTTGTTTTAGTTAGTTTTAACTAACTTTATAATTATTACTTTTAAGGAGCTGAACAAAAAACAGACTTATCAACAGGAGTAATCAGTTGATGCTTTGTTTAAACTATGTTTTCAGACATAACAGTGAAATGAAGAGTCAGACAGGTACAGGAAGTGAAGAGGCGGCATCTTTTGAAGTTTTGTAACGAGGAAGAAACTACCCATGATGCCACGCGGTTCAACCAGTCGAGCATCCATTCCTCCTCTGAACATATCAGCCGGCTGTGTGTGTGACCGACATGACGCGCGCTCCATGCCCGGAATAGACCATTTCTCTGCGCAGACAGGCCGGGGGTGGGAGGAGGAGGTGGTCTCGGTGCCGAGGGAGCCACAGCAGGAAACGCGGAGGTAGGCGCCTGTCCTGTCGGCTTTTGGCCGCAGTTTGTCCGAAAAAACCCTAACGTCTGCCTGCAGTATCTCACTCAGCGAGGAGGCGCTTACAGGAGCATCCCTCCCGAACCCGCTTCTGTTCGGAACCGTCACATGTGCGCGTGCCGCGCTGTGTGCGCGGGGCTTAAACTACATCAAACTKCAGGAGTTGTAGTTTCACTCTGGGTAACATTGATCGTGAACGGGTCAGTTACGAAAACGAGGATTTCGTTATGAAAGCAAGAAACGTCACGTGACGAGCCGGGCGCTGTGGTCACGTGACGTTGATGTTAGATAAGGAAGTAAATACATGATTTAGCTTCAGCTCCTCCAGGTATAAAACACCYGACTTCACAGATAGGAAGGGATACAAACGGCTTGTGAGATACACACGTGATGACAAAAAAAAAAGAATAAAAAATACTAAATATATTTGTTTTATTCAAACTGAAACATTATAGATCTATTAGTAAAATGTTGAAAACACTAAAATCTTTTGTGTCTATGATCAGAACTTGACAAAAGAAGTGGAAAATCCCTCTTAAAACAACTTTTTTTGTTTTCTTGTCACAACTAAGGGAAGTTATTTACTGTAATAGACTGCTATAATGTGAAAAGTCAGGTTATAAACTTGTTAAATGTTGTAGCTAAAGTACACAATGACAGAAACAAAGTTTTTTTTTTTTTTCGTAACAGTCTTAGTCAAATTTGAATCTGTACACAGTCTGGAACGTTGTACCTTTSCTTTGTTTGACAATCAAGTTGTATTTTATCAGCTGCCTAAACAGACTGTTTACATAAAACATATAGCAACATTTACTTTAATTTACAGTCAAATGGATAACTGGCTYCTCCACAACACTGTTTATTGTTTACTGTGTTTCACCCGATTTGTGTCACATGTGTTTGCACAAGTGCACTTTATGTCGGTATTGTGTAAATGAGGCTTTTTTGCAGCTCTTTGGTCCTGGAGGAATGTTGATTTGTTTCACTGTGTTCTGTACACAGCGTAATGTAAATGGATGCAAACYGAATTTAAGCTCTTTCAAATCAAACGTGGAGCATTTGAATTTAGCAGAAATGTATTAATGAAACACATGCACGCACTGAAACGAGCAAATCCACCCATTGGGCGTCCTGCAGACTGCAGATAAAGGACACACACCCACATGAGTTGTCTGTCCTTGAGAGACACGTCTCAGATAAGCGAAAGCAGCCAAACTAACAGTCGAGAGTCACATCAAGCTGCTCCGTCCTCTGTCTCGGCTGCTAAAATGTGCGCTCGTTTGACTTTATTATTCTTCARCTTTTGTTTTTTGCTACGTTGTTAATTTCTTCTTCTTCTCAGGGGTGTGTTTGTTTCCCTGCCTGAACCGGTGATGGTGGACCCGAAGCCTTCACTGCAGGCTGACCAGCCGCTGAGTAAGCTCCACAAAGGAGGTCTCGCCAATGGGATAGAAGAAGCCCCCGGAGACGGCCTGCAGGCCCGGGGCCAGTGGGCCAGCAAAGCTGAGTTCCTCTTGGCTGTGGCTGGGCAGATCATTGGACTGGGAAACGTCTGGAGGTTTCCATACCTCTGCTACAAAAACGGAGGAGGTGAGGTTTTTGAGGAAATGTTTAATTTTCCAGTCTCAGATGGCAGCTGCATGATTCTCACTTGGAGTTTAATGGTTTTACTGTTTTCTTTTTTTGCAGGTGTGTTTTTTGTTCCCTACTTGTTGTTTCTGGTTCTGTGCGGCATCCCCCTGTTCCTCCTGGAGACCTCCCTGGGACAGTACACCAGCCTGGGAGGGGTCAGCGCCTGGAGGACTATTTGCCCGTTATTTGGAGGTAATCTGATTTTTGTTTGGTCTAGTGTAGAGGTACAGTTACTGTCCATGTTTAGTCTGAATCAGAACAATAGTTGATGTCTGTTCTTACTGCAACGCAACATTACAGTCTTATTTTTTATCATCTTACTTTGAAATCCTTCATTTCACAAAGCTCAAAGTAATGTTTTGAACAGTTTCTTATGTGTAAAATAAGGTTGGAAAGAGGCTTGTTTACCAGAAGTCTGAGCAACTTTTAAAAACCTCTTCCAGTCTAACATTACTTGTTTTAGTGCCGGTTGTCCGTCATTATTTAGGGCTGTCTAGTTGAAGGAAAACAAGGTCGGTGGTACATGCTCATGTTTATTTTTTTATGCTTGGAAAATACTGGATGTGTGCGTTTGTCACGGAGCACAACTTTTAATATAGTCTGGTCATTGCTAGAGATGGAGTTGCAACATAAAACCCTCAGGTGCTCTCTAGAAATCAAAGCAAGGCTTTCTTAAAATGGTTCTTTTTTCATGTACAGTGYTCTGAGACAACCTATGAATTGAATAGGACATATTTCTACTATAACTTTCACCAAGAATACAAACAAAAGTCAGTAATTCAGATTAAATAAATAAAACTTGTAAGGGTTGTGTCCTTGTTTAGTAGGATTATTAGCAACATTTGTGCTGCTAACTGGGGTTGTTGGACTCTGTTTTTTTATTAATTTTTTAGTCGTAAGCTGAAAGGTTTAGATATAAGCCAAAGATTTTTAACTTTTTCATTTGTAAATCCTGGGGGTCTTTTATTAGAACAGCTTTTATAAAATAGCACAGAATCCAAATTTATTAATGGTTTTGTTTAGGGCTGCCCGGTATATGCGGTAGACAGTAGAAACGTAAGGTTATGAATATAACCTTGGTTCCTTGAAGGAATGGAACGAAGTACAACACACAGTTGTATATGGGAAACGCGCGCCCTCGCACGCCTGGCTGAAGCCACCTCTAATCACGTCTTTAGAC